GGAGGCGAAGACTGGGCGCAGGGCGGGCGGTGACAGCCCGGAACCTTGCGGCCGACCCCCGCCCACGGCGAGGGGACTGGATCCGGCGCGGTGCCGAGCAGAAGCGAAAGGCAGGCACTCAGGTCTCTACACCGCACGGGTCCAGCGGTGGCCGCGGAGTCTCCTGAGACGCGCACATCCGGGTCCCGGCGCGCGCACGCGCATTTGTACCGAACATGGCCGCGGCAGCTCCCGCCGCTGCCGCAGGTGCCGCCGGCCAGCCTCCGGTGAGTCCGCTGCGCCCCTCGTCCTTTCGGTGCCCCGATTTCCCCCTGAGGACGGTGTGTGTGTGTCGCGGGGGGCGGTGTCCGCTGGGCCTTGGTGACGCAGGAGCGAAGCGTCTGACGGCGGGTTTCCCGGGGTCAGTGGGCGCGTCCGACTCGCAAGGCCGGGGGTCCGCCCGAGGCGCGGCGGCCCTAGCGAGTGAGGACGCCCCCGGCCAATGTAGACGCCCCTCTTTGGCGGTGTGGATGTCCCCCGGCGGGTGTGGACGCGCCCCTTTTGCAGTGTGGACGTCCCATGCAGTTGAGGACGCCCCCTCCGGCAGGTGTGGACGCCCCCCTTCTGCGGTGTGGACGTCCCCTGCAGTTGAGGACGCCCCCCGGCGAATGTGGACGCCCCGCTGCGGGTGTGGGCGTACCTCGGCGGGTGTGGAAGCTCCCTCTTAGGTGAGGACGCCCTAGCGATTTCCTCCGCGTTTCCCGGCGGTTCCGCGCTCGTATTGAGCTCGTCCTTCCATAGGGGCCTTTTTGCCCCTGCCTGCCGGATGTCCTGGTCCGGCCGCTGGGGCGAGCCCCGGGTCTGCCCACCTTCTGCTGCCGGGTGGTGGGAGGGCCCGTGTGGGCGTCGGTGGGTCTCAGGCCGAGGTGGCCGCGTTGCGCCCGCCGACTGTGCCGTTTCCCACCACTCGGCAGACCGGGAGGTGTCAAATCACCTGTTTTTTCCCCACCTAATAGCTGCAAAATCAGATCTTGCTACGCTTCTCAATGAGGGCTGCGTTTTTCCAATTGTTAGTGGCCACTTCGCTTTCCTCTTCCTTGATTTAGTGAGTTCGTTTCCTTAGCTCCTCTTCCCGCAGTAGTTCATGATAAAAGTTTTTCTACATATAGAAAAGTTGAGACACTTGTGCGTCCTTATACCAACTCATTGACTCTCTGCTGTACTTGCTGTATGCCCTATATTTGTTCCCTTTGTCCACCCTTTTAGCCACCCACTAATATTTTTGGGATACAGTCAAAGTAAATGGCAGATATCACTCCACTCCCCCCTCAAACACCTTACTACGCTTAACATCAATTAGAGTTCAATATTGCTTTTTAAATTTTTGAGGGAAAACTGACCTACATTGAAATGCACAGATATTCATTGTATCACTGGATGAGTTTTGACAAATGCAGTCCAAACCTTTATCAAAATTACCATCAGCCCAGAAAGATCCCTTATCCTTTGCCAATTAAAAAAAAATTGCTTATTAGCGACTTGGGCTTGTAAAAATATGTTTTGAACACTAAGACTTTGTTATTTTTTCCCCCCACAGCAAGCAACGTTTCTCCCTTCTATTGATGGCTTCTCTCCCTTAGCACCCGACTTTTTATTTTGAAGTTTTACACCTACAGAAATGTTGCAGGAATAGTTCAATAAACACTTGTAAAACCATCCAGATTATCAAGTTATTAATACTTTGCCTCATTAGCTTTACCCTTCTTTTCTCCCTGCCTCAAACACACATCTTTTTATATCTTACACACTCTCCCACAAGACAAAAGGTTTATTACTCACGTAATGAGACTGTCTTGGAGAGCAGGGCAGATTTCCCATGATGATCCAAAAAAGTGTGAGTGGGACTTCCCTGGTGGTCCAATGGTTAAGTCTTCTCCCTTCCACTGCAGGGGGGCGTGGGTTCAATCCCTGGTCGGGGAACTAAGATTCGGAATGCCACGTGGCATGACCAAAAACCAAATAAACAAACAAAAATCATGAGACAGCAGGAAAAGGAGGCTCGCTGGGCTTCTATAGTGATTAATGGAGTTGAGATGAGGGTGGCCTTGCATTGGTTGGGGCTTGCATGGTTTGAACTTCCTGCCAACACCAAGGAGAAAACACTCAGGCTTTCTTGTTAGTTTGCCTCGTTTGCAGAAGGAGAAGGGGCAGTAGGTGGTGGTGAGGATGGGGGGTTGAAAGCTGTCAGCAGTCAGTCATCAAAAATGAAGTCAGGGGCTTCCCTGGTGGCGCAGTGGTTGAGAGTCCGCCTGCCGATGCAGGGGACACGGGTTCGTGCCCCGGTCCGGGAAGATCCCACATGCTGCGGAGCGGCTAGGCCCGTAAGCCATGGCCGCTGAGCCTGCGCGTCTGGAGCCTGTGCTCCGCAACGGGAGAGGCCACAACAGTGAGAGGCCCGCGTATCGCAAAAAAAAAAAAAAAAAAGTCAGGGTGTTAATCACGATTGGTAATGAGGTGGGTAACTTTATTTGGACAGGGCTAAAGTTAGTGGCAAACAATTTATTTTTGTTAAAGAATGTATCATTTGAAGAAGTAAACATTATCATGTGTGGTCCACAGAGATGGCAAGAACCATGCAGATGGGCTCAGGCATCTGAGGTCTGGCAACCATTGATGTCAAACATCCAGTCATTGGGCTTAAGTGGATCCCTCTGCAGGGTCATAGAGACTGGGTATAAAGCCCTTCAGAGGTGAGTGCCTGGGAATGGAATTCTTCATAAGGTTTATTTTATTTATCTATCTATTTATTTATTTTTATTTTTGGCTGCATTGGGTCTTCGTTGCTGCACGTAGGCTTTCTCTAGTTGTGGCGAGCGGGGGCTGCTCTTCATTTTGGTGCACGGGCTTCTCATTGTGGTGGCTTCTCTTGTTGTGGAGTATGGGCTCTAGGTGCGCGGGCTCAGTAGTTGTGGCTCGCGGGCTCAGTGGTTGTGGCACACGGGCTCAGTAGTTGTGGCTTGTGGGCTCTAGAGTGCAGGCTCAGTAGTTGTGGTGCACAGGCTGAGTTGTGGCTTGCAGGCTTTAGAGAGCAGTCTCAGTAGTTGGCTCGTGGGCTCAGTAGCTGTGGCTCGTGGGCTCAGTAGTTGTGGCTCGTGGACTCTAGAGCATGGGCTCAGTAGTTGTGGCCCACGGGCTCAGTAGTTGTGGCTTGCAGGCTTTAGAGAGCAGTCTCAGTAGTTGTGGCCCACAGGCTCAGTAGCTGTGGCTTGCAGGCTCAGTAGTTATGGCTCACGGGCTCAGTAGTCATGGCTTGTGGGCTCAGTAGTTGTGGCTCGTGGGCTTTAGAGTGCAGGCTCAGTAGTTGTGAACTGTGGGCTCTAGAGCACAGGCTCAGTAGTTGTGGCATGCAGGCTCAGTAGTTGTGGCTCCCTTCTGTTTTACCCGTGTGAGGTAATGCTTAACTTCGGTGGCTTCTCTTGTTGCGGAGCACGTGCTCTAGGCACGTGGGTTTCAGTAGTTGTGGCACGTGCGCTCAGTAGTTGTGGCTCGCGGGCTCTAGAGTGCAGGCTCAGTAGTTGTGGCCCACGGGCTCAGTAGTTGTGGCAAACGGGCTTCAGTAGTTGTGGCCCGTGGGCTGTAGAGCGCAGGCTCAGTAGTTGTGGCGCACGGGCTTAGTTGCTCCGCAGTATGTGGGATCTTCCTGGGCCAGGGCTGGAACCCGTGTCCCCTGTGTCAGCAGGCATGTTCCTAACCACTGCGCCACCAGGGAAGCCCTCTCCGCAAGCTTTAATCCCAAGATACCAGAAACATGACGAGTGGAGTCTAGACCAGTAGTTTTGACTCCAACAGATTCAACACCTGCTTAATTGTTTAAATAGCTGTATCGAGGTATAATTCATATACCATATAATTCACCCTCTAAGGTATACCATTCAGTGCTTCTTAGTATATTCACCAGGTGGTGCAGCCATCAGCCAGATCAGTTTTAGAATATTTTCATCATGCCCCAAAAGAAAACCCCTGCCCATTAGCAGTCACTTCCCATTTCCTCGATCCTTCTTAGCCCCAGGCAATTACTAATCTACTTTCTGTCTCTGCATTTGCCTATTGTAGGCGTTTCATATAAATGACCATACAGTATGTAGTCCTTTGTTTTGGTTTCTTTCACTTAAAAATGTTTTCAAGGTTCATCCCATGTTACAGTGTATCAGTACTTGGTTCATTTTTATGGATGAATAATATTCCCTTGTATGAATATATTAATTTGTTTATCCATTCATCAGTTGATAGCCATTTGAGTTGCTTCCATTTTGGGAGTATTACGTATAATGCTTCCGTGAACATTCACATACAAGTTTTGTGGGGTTTTTTTTTTGTGGAAATATGTCTTCGTTTCTCTTGGATGACCTAGGATTGGAACTGATTATAGCCACCCTAGGGGGTGTGAAATGGTATCTCGATGTATTTTTGGTTTGCAGTTCCCTGGTGGTTAATGATATTGAGCTTCTTTTCATTGTGCTTATTGGCCTTTTGTATATCTTCTTTGGAGAATTGTCTATTCAGATCCTTTGCCCATTTATGAAATGGGTTATTGGTCTTTTAATTATTGAACTTTAATTATTGAACTGTAAGAGTTGTTTATTTATTCTGGATACCAGTGCCTTATGAGATATATGATTTGCAAATATTTTATCCCATCCTGTGGATTTTCATTTTACTTTCTTAGTAACATTCTTTGAAGCACAAAATGTTTTAATTTTGATTAGTCCAGTTTATCTACTGTGTCACTTGTGCTTTTGGTGTTGTATTCAGGTTTCTGAAGAATTATGCCTATGTTTTTTTGGTTTTTTTTTTTTGCGGTAAGTGGGCCTCTCACTGTTGTGGCCTCTCCCGTTGCAGAGCACAGGCTCCGGACGCGCAGGCTCAGTGGCCATGGCTCACGGGCCCAGCCGCTCTGCGGCATGTGGGATCTTCCCGGACCGGGGCACAAACCCGTGTCCCCTGCATTTGCAGGCGGACTCTCAACCACTGCGCCACCAGGGAAGCCCATGCCTATGTTTTTAATTTAAGAGTTTTATAGCTTTAGCTTCTATATTTAAGCTTGTGATGCATTTTGAGTTATTTTTTGTGTAATGCTCAGTCTTTTCTTTTTTTTTTTAAGGTAGATTATCTGAAGCCATTCTGTCTCTGCTCTTTCCACAGGAGGAGTTCTACTTTTTAAAAAAAAATTATTTATTTTATTTTATTTATTTTTGTCTGTGTTGGGTCTTTGTTGCTGTGCATGGGCCTTCTCTAGTTGTGGCGAGCAGGGGCTACTCTTCGTTGCGGTGCATGGGCTTCTCACTGCGGTGGCTTCTCTTGTTACGGAGCACAGGCTCTAGGCGCGCGGGTTTCAGTAGTTGTGGCTCGCGGGCTCTAGAGCGCAGGCTCAGTAGTTGTGGCTCGCGAGCTTACTTTCTCCGTGGCATGTAGGATCTTCCTGGACCAGGGTTGGAACCTCTGTCCCCTGCATTGGCAGGCAGATTCTTAACCACTGTGCCAACAGGGAAGCCCAATGCTCAGTCTTTATGATCAATAGTAGCAATATGCCTTTTACTGTCCTGAAAAGAATTTTATAGATAATATTAAATATCCATATAACCTTATAAATTAAATGTAAAGAATCAATAAAAGGAAAGGCATTTGTATTAAAAAAAATTATTTCTATATTTAAATGTTTGGCACAGCT